ATAATCTCCATAGACATTCAGTCAAGGGAAGATTCTCTCATCATTTAAAAATAATTTTATTTAAGGATTTCCTAATTTTCAACTTGAAACTGCTTTCCTCTCCCACATATTCTTGCTTTGTCCTTGGATGGTATAAAATAGGCCTTGGGAGTCTTTTGTGTTATCCAATTTCCAGGTCGATCGGTCTGTTCAGAAAATTTCTATCTTTGCCTCAATCAGATTTATTTTATTTTATTTATTTATTTTGATTTGTCACTCTCTTATAAGATAATAGGTATAAGTATATACATAGTTATGAATATATGGATACATATAAGAAAAAAAAGAAACAATAGGACAGGGATGGTAGGCACGTTGGTGTGCTTATGTACGCCCCGTACAGACCCCGTACAGGGGTGAGGTAGGCAGTCTAAGGTTAAAGTTTTTGGGGTTTGGGAAGAAACCACAGAGTCAGGTAGAGTATTCCAGACATTGACCACTCTGTAGCTGAAGTCGTATTTCCTGCAATCAAGTTTGGTGCGGTTATATCCTCAGTCTTCTCTTCACAGGACTCAGTTTGTAGTTTTGTGATCATTGTTCCAATTTATCTGAATATTTAGTGAACTAGATTAGATACAATGTGTAAAACAGAGTATGATCAATAGAGGAATGCAGGAAATCACAGCAAAAAAAACCTATACTTCTGTGGCTATATCTTAAACCTGCATTTAATCTCCTAGGGAGTGACAGTATATCATTCCAATGCCCGACACATGGTTTGTAGCCAACTACATTTTCTGTCACTTTTTTTACAAGTACTATTAGAAAACCAGATACCCTCCATTCTATATCTGTACATTTTATTTCTTTTTCCCATGGGAAGAACACATTTCTGTTAACTTTCATTCTGTTATTTTCAGCCTGTTCTGTTAATTTAGAAAGTCTGTTTTGAAGTAGGTTTCCATTTTCTAACATATTAGCTATCTCATCCAAATGTGTGTTGTCTACAAAAGTGTTAAGCATTCCCTTCAGTTCTTAATCAAAGTAATGTTGAAGAGTACAGGAACCTGTATTGGCCCTTATGGCATTTCACTTGATACCTCATTCTAGTTTGATGAGGTATCATTGATGAGCACATCCTATTAGAACTAATTCTGCATCTACCCAATTACCATCCAGCCAAACATAATGGGCTTGCTAATCAGAATAACATGAAGTACTTTGTGATGCCTTTCTGAAGTAAAGATATACTGTAGTACATTTATAGCATTCCTGCAAGTGCCAGATTTTTTTTAAAAAAATAGATAAGCTTAGTCTGGCAGGATTGTTTCTCACAAATCTAAACTAGATTGTTTTCAAGATATTTACAAAGAAATCTCATTATTAAGAATCTTTAAAAGAATTTTAGTATTATTACTAGTTCCCTGGATCAGCCTTTCTCTCTTTTCTGAATAAATGAGCATCATTTCCCTTCTTCCATTGGCCTGGAATTTTATCAATGCCATGATTTCTAAAAGATAGAAAAGTGATAATAATAATAATGATCATTCCTTTCATCCATGCAGTGATATTGACAGATTCTTCTTACCAAATAGCATAAGTGGATGTAGAAAGTTTCAAGTGCATCAGTAGAAGAAAAAAGGGCATTGGAACAGTATCTGAAGGATAATGAAGAAGATGCCCTGAAGCTAGTACATCAGGTATTCTTACTGAATACTAAAGACATCAAACTGGCCGAAAAGAAAGGCCAAATAAAAATAGAAAAGAGACATGGCAAGGCAAAGCATTATACGATCAGTATATAACAAATTAGCAGGAAAAACAGATAACACAAGACCTGGAAATGGTTAAGAGCAGGAAAGTTGAAGAAAGAGGCACAGGGATAACTACAAACATTGGCATGACTAAGTAGCAACTTAGAATGCCTGCAAGAAATGCCATTTACCTGCAGTAAAGAACTGGTGGGATCACAAACTAAAATAATAGAAAATGAAGAAGCTAAAGTACTCTGAGATTTTAAAATACAGACTGGTACCTGCCATGTAATATTTCAGACTTAACAATTGTCAATAAGAAAAGACAAAAAAGTCTGGATAGTGAAGTTGTAATACCTGGACACGGCAGAATATAAGGGAAATAATTGGAGAAAATAACAAAATACAATGTTCTGTAAATATAAGTAGAACAGCTGTGGTAAAAGAAAACAAAGGTAGTACTAATAGTAACAGACACCTTAAACGTAACCCTGAAACATCTGGAGCATCAATTGAATTGAATGCCATCAGCTTTGATGAAATCACCATCACTCAATTGCAAAATGCACTTTTACTTGGACAGTAATGTGATGATACCTTTAACAACATCTGCTCATCCCAGATCCTTAGGAATGGCTCAATCTAATCTGGCTGACTATAAAACCAATCATAATATTAATAATTTATTAAATGTGTCTGCCACCCAACTCCCAGTGACTTTGGGTGGCTATTCTAACAATTTATTGCACCTTCCTCTTACCGTATTTCTTTAATCAGGCTGATTGGATAATGTTTAATCTTCTGCTGCATTTTCTAAGCTTGGAATTAAAAAAAAATCAGTACCTTCAAACTCAAGGTTGCAAAGGATAGAATGGATGCAGTCAAAATTGCTTCATCCTGACAGACAGACAGTTCTAGCCTTGAAACATTTATCTAGAGCTCTGACAATGAGAAGTAACCTTTAGTATAAACCATTAAACAATTACATAAAAGTTTGGGTTGGAAAGCAAATTTAGAAGGCTTCTGTGACCAGACCGCCATTAACTGCCTCAGTCACATTCTGGAAAATAAAGAGATGCTCAAGCATTAGCTCCAAAATTTGGTGGTCTTTTCTACCTGTTTTTCTCTCTTTCTTTTATTTCCTTCAGAGTTGCCTCTGTGTGTGTGTGTCTCTCTCTCTCTGTCTCTCTCTCCCTCTCTCCTGCAACATCAAATTTAAAAATATTTCAGACAGTGTTCGCTATTAGAACAGGAAAAAAATAGGAGTCTCTGGAGAGACTGTACCGAATCCCTTATTCTGTTCTGTGGATTAGGAAGATGTGTAGGATTCTTCTTGTTGCAAATCCTGCTGAATTAAACAGCAGACAGATAGATGGGCAGTAATCTCTGGCCAGTGAGGAGAGCCAGAGGCATTCTGGTAGGGAGCTCAACAGATCAGATATATATGAGCTACCACACATCCAGGTCTGCTTCTTTGAGGCATATGGTATTTTGCATATGGCATATGTCTCTTAAGCAGCCTGATCTATCTTCTATTTAAAAACACACAGAGAGAAGCATTACTTGCTGGATGGAAAGCAAATATCTCAGGTAGATTCTCATCAAGTTTTTGCTCTGTACACGGAGAGGCTTTAGCTCTGAGGTGTTTTACTTTGTTTTGGTTAGAGAGGCATTAAAACCTGTAGTTATTCTCAGTTTAGAAAGAATTGGGTCACAACATAGTAGTTAACAAGGCAAAAATGCAGATTCTGATACTTCTCCAAGGTGAGCTGTAGTGTTTCCTCAGTTTATATCTATTCCTCATTTATAGCTATGGCTTCATTTATTTCACACCTGATTTAAAACTTGACTACAAATACAGATAAATGCTAATGGAAAACTTTCACTCCAAGAATTTAAAAGACTGTGGGGAGCTTTCAAGAAATATGAGGTATGTATGAAATTTATTCAGTTTCTTAACTGTTACCATGACTATCTTTGTCCTATTATTTGTAAAGTATATTTCAGTTCCCAATCTTTGTGTCATTAGAAAACTGTGATCTTCCATAGTAATTACAAATAGATTTTTTTCCTGTTTTAATATATTATTTTATATATAAATATTTTTCAGGATATATTTGGAAGAGAGGATGAAAACAATTCTGGATTCCTAACTATTTCAAATTTGCAAAGAATTGTTCAAGAAACAGGTAGCTGATAAACAGATGTTGCTTGAAAATATATTCAAAGTTATTTTTGAAGCCTGATAGATTTAAAAAAATAAAGTAGAAATCAACAGGGTAGCTTTTTTCTCTGTTCCAGTTTTATTTTAAATGGAAACTCATTGATTTTAATTTAACTCTCATTTTCACTCTTTCCCACGGAATGCAACTTCAAAAGTATTTGTCTTAACACTGCCATCTGCTGATAATGAAGGAATTTTAAAACACCCCAAAAACCTTTCCTTTGCAGTTTCATGTTTACTTCCTCCATTTCTGAGTTGTAACTGAATTGTTTGGTGGATGTATTTATATATGCAATCCATTGTATTGTACAGAAGATGCTAATATCCACTAATGCACTTTTAAGACGAACATTTACAAGTTTCTATGGCAGTGCAAATTACAGTATTGATTTCCTGTGTGAGGAAATAAAAAGGAAGAGGTAAGCAAATGCCAGAGAGGAAGAGGAGAACAATGATAAGGAAGAAGGGAGAAGGAAATTGTTAACTCTCTAAGAGCACTATGACTTTTATCACTAATGTACTGCATCAATAGAGATAAAAATGGTATTGTAATAATCAAGGCAATACAGTATAGTCCTGAATGGTAAACTCCATGCTGTGCACTCCTTAAAGGCAAGCAGCAAACAGTATAGTTAATGAACTGAATAAAAGTTTCTATTTGCCTGAAAAAATACTAATATGTATATAGCAAAGTCTGCTTCTTTTTCTAAAACAGTGGAAAGTATAACCCCAAATAAAATTATTTTCCTGGTCTCCATTTAGCAAATAATCTAGGCTTCTTAGAAGAGAACCCATCAATCTGGTTAATACTGTACCTCAAGGCTATCTATCTGAGTAAAACCATTTAAAAGTAATATTTGTTTGGCTTTGATTGTGGATTACATGTCAAACACCCCACCCCACCCCTACTGCTTTCTTATAAAAAGAAGCAGAATTATAGTTCCTAGTTCCATAATACTTCAAATTTTCTACAAAGGGAAGCCAATATTCCCCTACTAGATTCTGAGGCCAGGTCTTTCTGTTATGGAAACTTTGACATTGGGAAGTGTTGGGGTAGGCTAATGCTGGAGCCCAGAAAAAAAAAAGAAAGTTGAGGTATGAAGAAGTGTTTTGGAACATCGGCAGTTTTATTAGTGATTTTTATTCTTTTATGTTTTATTGTGGTTGCTTAGGATTATGATATACCATATATACCATTTGTCTGAAGTGATATGGTTTCCTGCTAGAGCAGGGGGTTCAACTAGAACAACAGTCACCAACTGGTGGGCTGTGATAAAATGTTGGTCAGCCGCAGAGAAATCTCACCCCCAGAGCACCCCACCAAAGCAATTAATCCAGGCTGCGCAGAAACACAAGGCTACTCAGCCCACATGGCCCTCCCCGCCCACTCACTCCTTACCCAGCAAACTTGTCTGCTAAGTTGCTATTTTTCCTTTTTCCGACCATCATCGGTTCTGCTGTGCTGGGAGATTTAGATTAGCTAGGAAGCAGGAAATGGTTGGATTTCTTGCTTTCTAGCTAAGCACAGCCGAACCTCCCTTAGGACTGAAGGTTTGCTTGCAAGCAAATTCAGTGCAGACTCACGGCAAGCAAATTTGAGAGACTGAGTTAGCTGATGGCAGATAGCTAGATCACTGAATGATTCTGTGAGCAACTCAATCTGCCTGCTTTGCCTGCTTTTGGGTAAAAGTTGCTCTTTTTTATAAAAAATTCAATATTTATATAAATATTTATAATGTTTACATACAAGCCATGCCCAGCCAGTCACATGATCACCAAGCCACACCCACAAATTAGGCCATACCCACAGAACCAGTTAGTGGTCCCTGGGATCTAAAATTATGAGTTTGGTGGTCCCTGAGGTACAAAAAGTTGGCGACCCCTGGACTAGAAGATCTCCAAGGTCCCTTCCAACTCTGTTATTCTATTATATATAAGATGGGTCTTGTATAGAAACAAAGAAAGATTGGAAAAAGATACATGGGGTGTTTTCTACAAAGCTAAAGGATCTTAAACCTATCCTCACTCCTCACTTTCCCACTCCCAAATGCAGGAAGTATTTAGACAAACCCTATAATTCATACCCTCCCAAGCTTGAAAAGGGAAAGAAATTATGCAAAGCAACAATAACAACAGGAAGTGAGCTGAGCAGCACAATTGTCTTTCATTGTCATCTCTTCTATGTTAGGGTACTGAATAACATCTCTTCTATATCAGAGCACACAGAATTTCCAAATTGAATATTAGGATATGCTCTGCCACAAGGTTTTAAATTAACTAGATCTACACATATTCATTCATAAAACAGATCCATTGAAATCATTGGGATTTAGTACAGTACTAACGGGAGCCTAACAATTTTGATGAATTATTATCCTAAGTATCATCCTTTATTTCTACAATCAATGGCCACATTATGTTCATTATTGGTATTCATATTTTATACAAATTGTAGAACATGAGAGCCCAGTAATGTTGCAAAGAGTCCTCAGAAATCTTCTTGGATTTCTGAGGACTCTTTTCAATTATGAGCCCAAACACTCAGAACAGCAGAAAAAGAGCATCTACTGTATACAACATATTCCAACAAAATGGATATCTTAGCAACTTTATTAAAAAGTCATGCAACCCAATACCGAACAACCAACACAAACTCTAAAAAAAATTACACTGTCATACATCAAGAATATCTTAGAAACCATCAACTGACTACTATACCTGTTAAGTTCGCCATTCGGAAGAAGTCTCGGGAGTCAGTGACCAGTTTCAGCTCTTTATTTGGTCCCGAGATCGACTCGGTGCGGCTAGGGCATGCAGCGGCTTTTATAGAACTAGCTGGCCAAGCTGTGGCCAATGACACCGTTTTGAATCTCCCGTGATCGGTTTCCTCCAATCGCGGGAGATTCTCCGCGGGCCAATCAGCGCGGCTCGTTCGGCCAATCGGATCGCTGCGCGTCTTAGCCAATCAGAACGGGTGTTTACAAGAATGTTAATGAATCATACAGAACACCCCTCCCCTCTTGGTAGGGTCCTACGTGACGTAGTCTCGTAAGTAGGCGGGGCTCCGTACTTGTCGACTGGACCTGCGCAGGTTAGTTGGTGTCTGGTCTCTGAGCGGTTCGGTCGGGTCCTGTGTCGCTCCTCGCCTCGTTGCTGGAACCGCCTGGAAGGTTGTGCCAGGCCTTTCGCCACAGCTCTCTCCCGGTTTGCTCGGGTTGGTTGAGCTGTTGGCTTTGTTGCTCCCGCCTAGTCTTTCTGGGCTGGTTGAGCTGGCTTGGCTGCTTCTCCCAGGTGAGGCCTCGAGCTGTTCGTCTGTTCCTGTCACGGTTGGTGAGTATTCTTGGTTCCCTTCTTGTAGGGGTTGGCTGTTTTGGATTCCGGGGTTTTCCCTCCCCTCTTGGCTGATGTCGGGGTTTCCCCTTCCCCCTGTGGTTTCTTTTTGCGTGTCGGTTGTATTTCCCATGTTGATTCTTGATCTTAATTGATCGATGTGTCTTTTCCATGCTCGACCGTCGGTTGTCTGTAGCTGGTACGAGCAGGGACCTGTCACCTGGGTTATGGTTGCTGGTACCCAGAGTGGGTCCCCTGTGAGGTTTTTTGCGTATACTACGTCCCCTGGTGTGAATGTTCAGTGTTTGCTGGATGAGTTGGGGGGTTTCTCTGGGTTGTATGTGGGGTGCAGTCTGTCGAGTGGGGACCTTAGTTTCCTCCCCATTAGTAGTTCTGCCGGGCTTTTGTTGGTTGTCGTGTTTGGGGTTATATGTTGTATGAATAGCATTTTATTAATTTTCTCCTGTATTTCCCCGGTTTCTATTTTTTGGATTGTTTTTTTCGTAAATTGAACCATTCGTTCCGCCCTCCCGTTCGTCGCCGGATGTGCCGGTGCTGTCAGCGCATGCCATATTCCCCGTTCCGCTAGGAATTTTTAGAATTCCAGCGAGGTAAATTGGGGCCCGTTATCTGATACGATGACATCTGGGAGGCCGTGGGTGGAAAATAGTTTGTTGAGTTCTTTGGTGACGGCCTCCATGGTGGTAGTTTTCATGTTGCTTACCTCCAGCCAGTTGGAGTAAGCATCTACCGTGATGAGGAAGGTGTGCCCCTTCGTAGGTCTGGCGAAATCTATATGGATCCTGGACCATGGTCCCCTGGGGGTTTCCCATTCCAGGATTGGGGCGGGGGGGGGCTTGATCTGGATTCTTGGCATTGTCTGCATGCTGCCACCCAAGCCTCGATTTGCCTGTCCATCCCTGGCCACCAGGCGTAACTCCTGGCCAGGGCTTTAGTCCTAACGATGCCCGGGTGATCCTCATGCAATAATTCCAAAACCCTTTTGTTGTAGAGCGGCGGTTACAGAACGAGACGGAGCCAGGATAACGCTAACATACTTTATTCGGAGAATAAAGGGTCGCCGCGGCTTCAGATGCAATCTGACAGCCAGCTGGCGGCGACAGCTGATGCCGTTTGACAGCTCCCTTTTATAGCCGGCTGTCAAACGGCATCAGCCAATGGGAGCGTTCGGCACTCCCGCTCAGACGGCGGACCAGAAGGAGAACTGCTGTCTAGTGCTAAATACATAACACTCCTTCCCCCTGGTCGCGCGCATGCGCAGTCCATAAATCGCAATGGCGGTCTTCGTTCGCGACCGGACCTCTGCGGTTCTGGAGACTGGGCGGCTGCAGCACAGTCCTTCTTGCCTTCTGCGGTGCCAGGCATCTGTGGAGGGTCGATGGCTGTTCCGGACCTGTCATCTGGCGGCTGCTCTGGTAAGTTTACGCGCGGTGGATGGTTGGCTGGAAAGTCGGGCCTCTGGTAGACCGGGTAGTGCTGCGGGGCGGCTGCGGCAGGCGGCGAGTAGACCGGGTAGCTCGGCGGCGGGTTGCCTAGGCTCTCGGCGGCGGGCGAGGTCCAGCGTCTCCGGAGTTGGTCGATGTGCCTTCTCCAGGTTCTCCCATCTTCCAGGAG